TACTACTACTATACTACTACTATACTACTACTATACTACTACTATACTACTACTATACTACTACTATACTACTACTATACTACTACTATACTACTACTACTACTACTACTATTCCTGCTCCTGCTTTGGGGGGTGGCTTTGCCACAAAACTTTACCCCGCAAAAGGCGAAAGTTTGGCGAAAGTTCAGCTCAAGATTGGCGAAAGTTCACCCTGCCACATCTGACCCCCAGCCCATTATGAGTAAGTTTGAGTGACCGGCTACTACAGTGATTCTTGCAATTTTGATTCTTGCTGACACCCAGGAGAAACAAGAGACGTACAGGGTGTCAACAGTTAAGTAGAAGACACATGCTGACAAACAGTGAAGTTTCTATTTTGTGTTTGCCAGTAAAGAAGAAGCCATTGACGTGAACAAAACACAACATACATGGCACACATAAATACAACGTACTTCGGCGAAAGATAAAACGCAGGAAGGCGAAAGTTTGGCGAAAGTAAATTTTTTTTGGCGAAAATGACGGATGCCGGATAAAGGAATTTAGATCAACTCCCATATACACGGTACCCCCGGGTACCTACCTTTGGGTGAAAACACTGTATTTTACAGTGTTTTGTGCTGATTTTTTTTTCTCTCTCTCTCTCTCTCTCTGCTCACCTTTGTAGTGTTTTGTTTTTTGTTCCAATACACATACATTCAAAACAGTTTTTGGTATTTTGGTTTTCCTTGCAACACCCAAATACCAAAATACAAAAACTGCAGACCCCATGGCCTGACCTCAGCCACTTTGGAGACATAGGGCTATGCAGTATTGTTAAACAACAATACCAACATATAGAAACTGCAGAGCACATAATTGAACGCCGTTTTTTTGCTTGACTCTGTTTGTAATTGGATTGAGCCTTTTTTATTGGTTGTTTGATCAGGCATTTTAAATATCAATCGCAAACTAGCTTTTAAAACACAAATGCATTCATTTGTTGTTTTTGGTTGTAAAAAAAGAGCCGTTATGCTTTACATAGTTTGTTTTAACTTGATCTCAAATAGTTTTAATATATGCTTACTTGCATTTCGAGCATTGTGTTTAACATTTTCTCTTTACAGTTCTTTGACAGGTGACACCTTGTAGCCACATATAACTTGATGTATTTTCAAACTTTTCAACTTGTTTGCAAACAGTCTGTATGTAGAAATGATTATTCCCAGAGATCCAGAACAACAGCTTTTGGAATGAAAGCTTATATTCCAAGGTTTTTAATAGCACAAATGTTCAGGAATAAAGACTAGATACGGTGATGCATGCAAAGCACAGTCCAATCTTTTAAGCGATTCTGGCTCTGGTAGTAAAGGACGAAACAGACAGAGGCTGGAGTTTTTGTGAGCCCTCTCTGGTGTGCACGCTCCCGGCTCTGCGAGCGTCTGTTCGTTTCACTTCTGTCATTTTGGGCCATAGTGGCTGACAGCTCAGAAGTGAAAAAGTCAAATGGCCAGTCAGCCGTCCATAAACCTGCAAAATCTAGACAGCTTCATTCAAGGATGCTAGTGGTTAAAAATTCAATGCACGGAAAGCAAATCCTCTGTTCGCCAAATAGACTATTGCACTTCTTGCAGCTATAGTCATGGAGGCCCCTGCGGGTGTAGTAAGAGGAATCCCAGAAGCTTCAAACAATCTCCCAATGCCCAACTCATCTCTCCAGATCGTGAAAGCTGCTGAGAAATAATTCACGCAGGAGGAAAGTGGGAAAGGTAGAGTGAAAGCAGCTGTGTGGGAAAAACAAACAGCGAGAACCCATCCAATGACAATACCGGACGCCAGCAAAAGCCATGGGTGGGTGGATCGGGCAATTCAGGCTTCAAGGCCTAGCTCAGCACGTAGATGCC